ATCAAACTAAGAAGGGACTCGAACAAAGTCAAAAGAGACGACAGTCAGTCATTTTATTTAACTTTTATTGCGAAATGTAGATCTTCAACTAATCGAATTAATAAAAAGTTTAAAAAGTGGATTACTTTGAGCAAAGATACTTCAAAGGATATTGCAATTATAGCGATGAAAATTAAATGAACAAAAAGGGAAAAACTTGAAATTTAATTCTAATTAAAATGGTAAAATAGGTTAATTTGTAGTGTTAAAATGTTGTAATAAGAATGAAAATTTCATTTTTTGATATTTTTCTAGGAAGCATATAAGTGTAACCAAACTTATGCATTTGTTGATCCCTTGATTAATACAATACAGAGAACATTTCCTATGACCGATAACGATAACCAATCATTTAAACGTAAATAAAACAGATAATACTGATACAATACCGATATGTAATAATAATTGTACTTGCCAATGGGTAACGGTAACGGTAGATTGTGACCCATTAAGGAAATAATTGACAATCACGAAACGTTCTACGTAATGTCGAATATTTTTATCAGTCGTTAGCCTCTTGATCCTAATTTTCAAGGGCTATGTCATATGTTTCGCCGCCACTAAAACAATACTCCCAACACGTCTCTGTTGGTCGAGTTGGGGGGCAGTCTGTTTTACACAAATCACGGCGGTTATTGCTATTGAAGTTGTTTTTAAAAAAGCATTTTTAGTAATAAGTCGTATGTATGATTGAAAGTAAAAATTTTGTATAAAATGATAGAAATTTCATTCTCATATTATAACTAAAAATAGCATAACGATAAAAATTAAAAGGACTTAAGATACAGTCTGTCGAATGACGTTTAATATTGAATTTTTTAAAGTACAATAAATAGAAAGAATATTAATTGATTTTTATTGATTAAGAAAGAGAATTCTTTAACTTACGATCGGAATAAACAGGTAAACTCATAAACACGTACAACTCATAAACATGTACGTATAAATCGGTAATTTTAGTTTAGTAATGTACGTATAACGATAGCGATAGACATGTACATGTATATATGCGCAAATCGATACTAAAAAGAGACATGCCATTATCGTTATCGTTATAGAACTTCAAAAATCTCTATAGTGACACCCATTTATGGTTACTGTCAGATTTTGACTTAAGATTTTTTTCAACAACCTCTATAACGAAGGTAATAGTGATACCCATTTATGGTTACTGTAATAACTATGACAGAGTATGCTTATAGAACAGCGATAGTGAATTTACCTTTAAGATAGTTAATATTTGCTAGCGATAGTGAGTGTCTACATGTACATGTTTATGAATTTACCTTTTTAAAATACTCTGGTATAGTTGTCATTGTCAATATTTGCTAGCGATAGTGAGCGTCTACATGTACATATTTATGAGTTTAACTATTTATTCTTGATCATGTAAATAAAAAAAGTGCAGTATATTCATTCAACATGTGTTTCAGACATAAACTTTTCTTATAAAAAGAAACACTCACTCCCAAATCTCCATTCTTCACTTTCGAAGTAACAAACAAACATTCAAAAATCAGCAAGCAACTCGAATATAAACATAAAATGACTACATTCAAACAACTTTTCGCGATCGCTTTGCTTCTAGCAATCTGTCTCTTCGTTTTATCTGACGCAATTCCAATGCCCGCTCCAGTCGATGATCTCGCTCCAGTCGATGATCCTGATACTATTGTTGTCAAAATTAAAAAATTAGATTGTAGAGGTAATGGTGCTAATAGTATTTGTAGAGACGTTTGCGGTTATAGCGCGCTCGCGACAACGGAAAAGAAAAGGAAGATAAGATACGAGATTGAAGAGCTTGAATGTTAATAACAACAAAACATTTTTTATTATTTTCAAAAATGTAATAAATTTTTATTTATATAATGATAAATAAATAAATAAGTTTTTAATTTTTCAACGTATCATCGGGATTTTAATAAAATCCCAATAATAATTCAATGTAAAAATTTAAATTTTATGAACCAATTGCATACATCTTTAAGTAACGGTAAATTTCGAAAAATAAAAGAGCCATGTTAAATAAAAAGATACGAATAATTTGAGATAACGATGATACGTACATATTGATACCAATGGCTCAGGATACAACCGTAGATGTGGAAATTTTTGTATTTTGACATTTATTCTTATCGGGTTAATTCTTTTTATGATGATTGCATGTGGGTGCTATCGATGTTTTAGAATTTATTATCGATCAAAAAAAGAGGATACTGACAATACATTTTAAACAAGTGAGCTTGCGTTTTTTTATCCAATATATATAAATTTGGCTTTTTTTTTACCCAAGAATTAACAAATCTTTAAAATTATAATATAATACAATAATATTATACAAATATGAATAATTAATGTATTGTACTTTTTAAAGATCTTTCTTCCTGACGGTTTTCTTTCATTTCTTTAATACTTGTAGAACATAATAAATAAACCAGCGGCCTAATAAAACTGCTATAATTATACAATTTATTATTCACCATCAATGTTAGCTTGTAATCGTATTATGTTGAATAGACCTTATTATAAACAATACCATTAAAAATATAATACGCTAATTGCTATCTGTTATAAGTAAGGTTGACTACTGAGATTAACAGGTTATCGAAAACTTTAAAATAAAGATGACTAACGAGATAACACCAGTAATCATTGGAATCGCAATAGTGAGCGTGTTATTGATTACGGTAGTAATTGTAACCATTATCGAATGTAAGAAAATCATTAGAATCGCAATAGCGAGCGTATTATTGATAACGGTAGCAATTGTAGTAATTTTAACCGTTATA